TGCAAGATAATGCATCAGCCACTGGATTTAAAGGATCGTGGACATGTCTGATGTCAGTAATGAACTGCGATATGAAGTCCAAATGTGTTATGTGAAAATAATAATGAATATTAATAATGATAATAATAATGATAATGACAACGACAATAACAATAATAATATATATATTTATTCTCTTTCATGATTGAAACCATAATGGCCAAAATGATAATAATAAGTAATAATAAAATTAAATGATAAACATACCATAAGTATACCTATACAGACTTGTACATGCATAAATCTATTTTAACTTTGAATGAAATTATAAATAACGATATCAATTTTTATGTTTGCCACTCATTAAATTGATCAATTTTTGACCCTGGTGTGGCAAAAATCAAGTGTGAGTAATCATTTAATGTTCTCCTAATTGGTAGTTCATTTCCAGATTGTTTCATTATTTGATATGCCTTAGGTTACACTGAAGAGGTTAAGACACAAACAAAGAAAAATGGGATGCCAAGCATTCCAAATTATTCTTTTACATTCATTGCTGCCACCTACAATTAAATTAAATCTCAATTTACAACAGATGTATCGTATAAATACTTGTTCCAACAAAATTCAGTAACAGGCAGAAATTTAATATATAATCTTTTCTCCTAAATAACAGACTCTAATTCATGTTGGCCATCACTGTCTCCTTTAACACCCTTCTCAGATATTAACTCTTTCAGCATATTTGCTATTTAGTGATGTCTTAGCTTAAGGCTTCTAGCTTTTTTTAGAGCAGCAATCGTCTTTATAAATGTACATCATTACGTATATTATAGGAAGCAAGCGCAATAATGCTCTTGAAACATAGGTGAACTATTCAGCACCTGTCATGTAAATGCTTGTGAACAATACCAGCATTTCTCTCTAAACGTAAACTGATACATAATGATATCTTATGGTAAATGCTGCATGTAGTACGAGTTATTGTTGACAGTAGGTGGCAATCGTGGTGGCGAGACCAAAACACATTTGTCAAGGAAAGCAATGACTTCATCTCGTGGAAATGACAGAATTTGGCGATTTTTTTTCTGAAGTGGGAGAGGAATTTGCCTTTCACCAACATGTGTATTGAGTTCAAATACTTTATGTACCAAAGAAAGGGTTGTGGATGGATCAAGAAAAGATGGGAGATTTGAGAAAGATAAGTTGTTTAGAGGATCTACCGATGCCTATTGACATTCAAAATCACAGAAACAATTAGCTACTACAATAAGGGACCGACTAAGAACTAAAGGAGATACGTTTGACATGTTCTGACAAAAAATCTGTTGAGAAAGGTCAGTCAAGCTGATAAAATAATTGTTCAACACTGCTATATCTCATCTTTCAATCAATTAGTAAATGGAATTTTAGGTTTGACATGCTCCAAAAATATGTGTATACAAATCATGCCATCGGGATACCATTAATTGTTACTATTAATGAAGTAAAAAATAGAAGTATACACAATTTTCATCCAAAGCGTAATAATGTCATGAAGCTAAGCTACTCATTCAACAACCCTTTCATGGTAGGGGTTAAAAATTGTTAAATCATCCCATGGGCAGATGTTTTATACAATGAAATAGCTGCAAGTGTAGTTGCTATTATAAAAACAGTACAAGCATGCAAGATAAGTTTATTTTTAAATAAGAAAAAGGATCACTGGCAGTACCAGTACCAATGCTAAGTTTTATAGTACACGTTAACTTTTAGTTGTAATCCAGAAAACTATTTTATAACCCATGTTGAAAATATAAATAAATAAAAATAACTTGTGGCAACACATACTAGAGCTTGTCAGTACACAATGCATTGTAGTTGTTGTAGCTTTCCCTTCTTCAAAAGTCAAAAAACATGGCTAAAAAGAGGGCCTACTAGAACAACCTAGAGACCATGCCCATCTGCCAAAGTGCCAATGGAAGGCTTGAAACACAGAAACATGCCATTTTGACTTCATAAATGGCTTCTGTAGGTTCCACTTCAGTTATCCTATAGGTTTTAAGCTTGTTTGCCAAATGGTAACCAAGAAATGAGAGACAACGCGCTCTTTGTTTAAGTAGCTTCAAGACCACACCCACTTCCGTGAAGCAGTATTTATGGTAAGTGTCTTGCTCTCCTCAAAATAAAGTCTCTTTTAAATCTCTTTAGACACAGGTGCCTACAGTTGTTTCACTGTCCTTCGAATTGCAGAGCACTACACAAGGGCTCTTTAGGGTTTGTCTGATAAAAGGAATAGGGATACTAAACATGTATGCTTCTCACTGCTAGTGTCATTTTTTTGGTGGTCATGGCCCTACAGCAGTAGTGGTTTATGAAAGGACTGCCACACTTTTCTCGGAGAAAAAACTCCCTTACAATGTAGTGATGCAACGGGTTAGCTGTCATGTCTCGTTCTCCTTGGTACATTCTACTAAGATGTTACTCTGGGTCCTTGGCAGAAAGTACCTAGAATAGACTTTTCATCTATTTCAGTCACCATAGCAGAAGGAAGGTTATCTTAGTGGTTCTCTCTCTCTCCTTTATGAATTCTTATTTTCTATTAAGTCTTGCTTTCATATCATTGCTTACCTTTTCTTTGTGTCTCTGGCGCAATTTTTGCTTTTAAAAGACTTTGGGCTGCTACATTTCCAGTCAGAAACCAGACCTCAAATGGGATTATAAGCCAAATCCTGTTTTTTTTCCAGAGGCTACCCTCAGGGAGGGGCCATGCCAGACGACGAGGCGGTGCCTGCCATGTCAATCACAAGACCGAGTAAGGAGAGAGACCCCTCTGACATTAACTCAGAGTCAAGAGGTACAAAGTTGAGAGATACAAACTATCTACGGAACTCAAACAATTGTTTTTTCTGTAAAATAATTGATTCAAGATGTCCAATTGACAAGCAAAGTGATTGCAGCCAGGCGCATTGTACCCATGCAAAAGCAAGCAAATCCATCCAGTCAGCTGGAACACTTCGTAATAAATTGGCACAGACTAACAAAAGACTGGTGGGTCCTAATTATAGTAACAAGGTACAAAAGAGATTTCACCACAGAACCCTGTCAATACAAAATACCCAACCTAAACCAATTGAACCAACACCAAGAAGAGCTGGTTTCCCAGGAGATCACAGAGTTAATCTCAAAGGGAGCAATTTTAGGATTACAAACAATCCCGGGGACGGGGAACGATTTTTTCCCACCATCTTTCCTGTTAAAAAAAAAGATGGTGGTCAGAGACCTTTGATAAATTGAAAGAGATTACAGTCATTTGTGAATGCTCCCCACTTCAAGAGGGAGGGAGAGGGACTTCTCACCCTCAAAAGGCTACTCAAGAATGAGGATTGGCTTCCTAAAGTAGATTTGAAACATTGCTTATTTCTCGATACCCATAAACAGAGCACAGCTAACACCTTTTCCTTCATGTAGGAAACAAAACATACCAATTGAACTGTCTTCCATTTGGCCTGGTCTTAACCGCATGGGTCTTTACCAAGACCCTAAAGCTTAGAGCAGCTGTCAGACAGGAGCTGGGGATACATTTGGTGGTATATATAGACGACATTCTGCTCATGGTGGAGATGAGGGAGAAAGTAGCAGACTAGGGTCAGGGATTTATACTACCCTAAAATGCATGGGCATCACAATAAACTAGGAGAAAACAATTCTACAACCATCCCAGAGCATTAAAGTCCTTGGATTTTTGGTGGATATGCCATAATGGAGCTGAGTCTCCCAGCCCAGAAAATGAAGATTTTGGTGGAGTCTTGACAATTGTTAAAGGAGGAGGAGATATCCTGCCACACCCTTTCGAGGCTAATAGGTAGAATGAATGCCAAGAACCAAGTCATTTGTGAATGTCCTTTGTTTTTCAGGAGCTTCCAATGGACCTAACATTGGCCCTGCAGATGGGGGAACAGACCTATGATATATATTTGAAAGTCTCTCCAGACAGCAGGGAGTAGATCTAGTAGGACACAGATGATAGAATTAAATGGCAGGACAATAGTTTTGATGAAACCAGTGGCGGGGAAGCAATAAAAAATTGGGGAGGCCATAGGGGCGTGCCGCAAAATTTTAGAGACCTAATTAATTATTTATGATGGGCGTGTCATTTAACGCCCATTAAATTATTTAACGCCCATCAGGCTAACTGATTAATAATGTCTTCTCAAAGCAAGTTATCAAGTTTTTTCGCTACTGCTTCTACTTGTACCACCAGTTCCAGTGATAATCTCTTGGGAAAGAGAAATGTTAATTCTCCTGCATCACTTGAAACTACCACTGATGAAGATAATGTTACAGAAAGTAGCAATGATGAGAGTGATACTGACCACTCTGATTGTGACTATGGAGATTGCAGTGGAGATAAAACAAGGGACTTAGAGAGGAGAATTGCTTCATAGTGTACCTCTGCTTGCTGTTCTGATGATATAAGTTGTCCAGTTCATCCAATACTTGGTTCAAAGGTAGCTAAATGCAAGCAAGGGAAGCAGTCATGCTCTCTATGTAGCAGCTGGTTAAGTGAATATCCATGGTTGACTTACTGTACAACTAAAAGAAAAGTTTTCTGTTTTTACTGTAGGAAAGCATACAAAACAAAGGTTTTGACCTTCAGTAAAAAGTCAGATCAAGCATTCATTGGCATTGGCTATGATAATTGCAAAAAGGCAAAAGCTTGATTTAAGTCACACCAGCGTAGTCACACTCATACTAAAGCTACTGTCAAGTTAAAAGTTACTGAGCAGCCTTCAGTCATTAGCCAGCTAGTCAGTTCTAGTCTGAGAGACAAAGACCAAAGAAGGAAAATGCTTCTGCTGCAACTGTCATATTTGAGACATCTTGCTAGGTAAGGTCTTGTTGTGAGAGGCCACAAAGATGAGGAAGGAATCCTGTTCCAGTGGCTTAAATGTAGAGCTACTTTAGGTCATGGTGTTGATGAATGGTTAAAAAGTGGAAAGTACCTTAGCCATGATATAATCAATGAGTTAGTTGAAATTATGGCACTCAATCTGCTACGCAACCTTTTAGCTGAGATCCGTCAAAGTCAATGGTTTGCTCTCATTTTTGATGAAACAAGGGATCAGAGTGGTCTAGGGCAACTCTGTATTTCCATTTGGTGGGCTGATCAATCATATACAGTTTCTGAAGACATTATTGGCATGATGGAAATGCAGCAAACAGATGCTCTTACAATATCGAATGCATTAAAAGATGTTCTGCTTCGCTGTTCTCTCCCTCGTCAACAATGTCGTGGCCGATCATATGACGGAGCTTCCAACATGGCTGGTCATTTATATGGAGTAGCTGTACATTTACAGGGAGAAGAGCCTAGGGCTCATAATGTGCACTGTTTAGCCCATTCTCTCAATCTGTGTCTGCAGGAGTGTTCATGTAAGTGCTCAGCACTTAGAGATGCTCTTGGTGTTACTCAAGAATTATATAATCTAATAAGAGCTTCCCCAAAGCGATTGGGTTTATTCAACAGAATCAAAAATGAAATAGCTCCATCATCACCTGGATAAAAAACTCCTGTGCCCTACCAGATGGACGGTGCGTACATCTGCTATAGACTCTGTGGTTAAAAACTATCTAGTTATAGACACAGAACTTGAAGAAATTGCTGATGAATGTCATGGAGAACCAAGCAGGAAAGCATCTGGCTTAAGGGCAGTTTTAGAAAAGTTTCAGACCTATTTTGGTCTCAAACTTGCATCTGTTTTTTTTAGTGCCACCGAGCAACTATCAACAACTCTCCAGGGACACAGTATAAACATACAAGAGGCTATATCTGCTGCTGAGACAACAAAGATGTGTCTGAACAGACAGCACTCTGATTCTACTTTCACATCTTATGATTTAGTCATAAAAGACAGACAAACTTTTACTAATGAGCCCACAGTACCAAGAAAACAGGGACACTTATATGCCTCACCATCAGTATACTATCGTATGCAGTATTTTGAAGAACTTGACCTGTTAGTTGCTAAAATATCACGGAGGTTTGACCAGCCAGTGTTTATCATAATGCAAGAAGTAGAAACCCTTTTAGTGAAATCATGTGCTGCCGTACCAGTCAAACCAAGTACAGCACTTCAAGCCATGTATAAAGATGACATCAATTTTAACACTCTGGAATTTCAATTAAAGATGTTGCCAGATTTAATTGAAACTGCAAACAAGCAGCAACAAATGGGTATTAAGAAAGTTACATCAATAAATACCATTTGTGACATTTTTAAAAGTTGTACTTTGCTAAAGCAACGCTATGTACGTACATAAAATTATGAAAATATATCTCAGTTCCAGTCACTTCTGCAAAAGAAGAGGTCAGTTTCAACATTATGAAGAGTCAAGAACTACCTTCGAACAACCATGACTGAGAAACGCCTTAATCACCTTATTCTTCTTCATTCACATAAGCATGGAACAGATGAAGTAAGTGTAGTTGAAGTTGCTAAGGAATTTTCACTACGTAATGACAAACGTAAGGAGTTTTTTGGAAATTTTTTACATTATAAACAATGAATTGTTCATTTATTCACTTATTATTATAGCATTTAATTGATTCACTTATAATTCAGTTCATTTATCATTAGTTTACAAAACAAAAGTGTCTGATAATAATTGGTGGGGCTTAGCCCCTACAGTGACAGCCATTGGGGGAGCTATAGCCCCCTAGCCCCCCTGTTCTGCCACCATTGGATGGAACCCAACCTGACCATAGAATTAGACGCCTCAATGCTGGGTTGAGGAGCCTATTATCAACGTACCAGTACAGGGGAGCCGTGGTCTCAGCAGGAGAGACAGTAGCATATAAATTTCCTGGAATTGCTAGCGGCGACTCTAGCACTCAATACCTTCCTAAAAAACAAAGTAGGAGTATCTGTTCTACAGAAGATAGACAACACAACAGTGGTTGCCTATCAAAAATCAAAGGGGAAAGGCGTCCAAAGAATTCATAGCCATGATCAAACACCATTGAATGTGGTGCATGGAGAGGAATGTCCACATTCAAGCTCAACACCAATAAGGGGTGATGAACCTGGTGGCAGACAAAGAGTCGAGAACCATATGAGACAGATCAGATTGGACACCCAATCCGGAAACGCTCCCCTGCCAAAGCATCCAGAAAAAAATGAAAACATCAGTTCACTCAGCCGGCATGTGTTTTCTACAATGCCACGCCTAAAAAAAACTGACACACCTAGGACCTTACCCACTATCAAGAAATATGACAGATCGGGTTGCCTCTCCTAGACCTCTGCTAGTTTGGCTTACCAGACCCTGACGCAGCAACTATTCTGCTCAATATGTCAGCATGTTGAAGTTCCACAGTATCTTTATAGTTGCAGGGTTTTTTGACAGGACGGCATGTATTGTTTTTGCATGAACTTTGTCTAACACATGATAATTAGGCTTACAGACACTAACCTTACACACACACCATTACATAATTATTAATGCTGGGGTGCGTATTTTCATTTTTTGTTATAAAGATTAGTAGCAACCATGTAATTGATGTACACCAATTTAGTCTTGCCCTGCTCCTACGCTTACATGCCAATAAACCTTACCATTTAGTAAATATTATAATAATGTGGTTTATGAAACCTTAATATGCAACAATTTTCAATTTGATTGACTTGCATTTGAATGCTTTGATATGAAGTATTAGCCATGTGTGTGTGTCTTCCAACATACATATGTATGCAATGTGTACATTATGTGTTTTTGCGATGTCTATATGAATACAAATGTAACATGCAACTGCTACATGTACTATTACTGCTATTACTGTGCCACCTACGCAACATGTAAAGTATTACATTAATGAATAGATCATTGTATCACATTTGTGCTCCTTTAAAAACACTTCTGTTTTAAACTGTCTATTATTAAAATTACTTCAAAGAATGTCTCTTATAACTTTTGCTACCGTTGCAGCTTTTATGTCACATTAACCTTTCAGCTCTTTCAATTTGTCTCTAGTCTTCTCTTTGTTACATAGCCAAGACTCACATACTAAGTGAGCCAAAGAGCATGCTTCATTGTACATGTACACAAGTGTATAATATTGCGTAAAGTAGTACAAGTCACTTACCACGACTGGGAGTGAGTGACGAAGACATTAAGTGAGAGGATGAGAGTATCGTGAGGTAATTGTATTTATTATGCTTTAAAGGAGAGGCAGTGTATTATTGTATGTATAGTAGTACATATAAATTACCATGACTGTAAGTGAGTGACAAAGACATTGAGTGAGAGGATGACAGTATCATTATGTACATGTATATGACATTTGGAGCCAAGGGAAAAATTCATTGAAAATGAATTTGATCAAAATCAGCTCAAACTTTCAAGGTGACATAAGAGCTATAGAAATCAGAAAAATTATAAAAAAGGAAAATTTTCTTTCAGCAATTTTTTACATACATCTACATGTATTACACCTTTTATTATAGTACATGTTACACATTATAAAAATGCTGAGCACTATGCCAAAAACCTGTGGGAAATCCTGTTGAAGCCACTTTGCAACATTTAATTGCTTTCCCCTAGTGCATGTCTTTTTGAACATGTACATTGTATGCTCTACCTTTGCCTTTCTTTTCCCCCTCTTTTAAGTCTAACTGCAGTGATTTTTAGGGTGTTTATTTTATGGTCTTAATATGATTGCCTGACCATAATAATGATGTGTTCCGACTCCTATTGTCTAAGAAAAATTATTCACTGAGATCTGAGCCTTCAAAAATTCACTTTTTGCTTCCTTTCAATTTACTTCCTGTCAATGGGTGCGGCTAAACGTGATGTCATAAGAGGCATTGTTGCAGGTAACTCCATTCCTTTATAGGGTGAAATTATCCTTTACTCTCATGCCTTGTAATATAATAGCACAAATTTAAAGATAGGCATCATTAGCTTTCATTATCCTAAGCATGTAACCACAAAAAAACAGTCATAATACCACAATCTGGTGACCATAGGCGGTTGCAGGCCTAAGCATTGGGGGTCAATGCCTAGGCTAAAAATTACTTGAAGCAAAAACAATGCTATTATAAGCTTATTTATCCTTTTTACCACACCCTTTTAATTATAAATGCCTAAACTGAGATGGACCTCTACAGCAACCAAAGCCTCTTACCACACCACACTGGTAAATTTGCTTGCTTGTTTCTTTTGAGTTTTCTCTAGCAGTTGCATGCTTAGGATAATGAAAGCTACTGATCCCAATCTTTAAATTAGTGCTATTACATTACAATGAGAATAAAAGATCATTTCCCCCTATAAAGGAATGGAGTTATCTGCATCTATGCCTCTAATGACATCACGTTTAGCCACACCAACTGACACAAAGTAAATTGAAAGGAAGCAAAAAGTGCATTTTTGAAGGCTCAAATTGCAGTGAATAAATTGTTTAAGACAATAGGAGTTGGAACACATGATTATTATGGTCAGGCAATCACATTAAGATTATAAAATAAATAGCCCAAAAATCACTGCCATTACACTTTAAGATGCAATACATATGATCCATGCATTCATACCTTCTCCTAATGTATGGTATTTCTCTTTCTCACGCACTGTGCCTCCTTCTTTAATCTCCCTGAATTATATTGTATAGTCTATTCTCATACACTCTCCCATCTTCTTCTCTATCTTTCCTACATGTCCCTTTTCTCTACATCTTTCTCATCTTGGCTGCTGTATGGTCCTTTCTCTCTACCTTCTTTTTAACATGTAAATGATTATTATTCTCCTCAGTCCTCACACACACACACACTCTTTCTCTGCCTTTCAACTTTTAGTCTCTCTCTTCTACTAAATGTGCATGTTCTGAGGCTCTGCCTTGTTTCTATTGCTCTATGTCTCTATTGTTTTCTTTTTTCTCTTCCTCTAATATCTGATGCACCAAGGCTATGTCTACGTCTTTTAAGCTTTCCCTCCACTCCATTGTTAATGTTTCTTTTAATTGATTACTGAGTAATAATTTTTGTCAATTTGCACATACATAATGTATGTCATGCACACCAGGCCTATCTGTATGTCACTGATTCATTGAAGTTTAGCTACATGTACGTATATGAAATGAAGTAATTGCCATCACACACAAAAAAGCATTACAGTTACCATTGCTTTTTAATTTGATTTACAATTACAAATCATGGTTATGCACCTCCCTTTTTTGCCCTTTCTTCTTCTCGATCTCTTTAGTGTTTCTGTCTCTTTCAAGTTTAAGATTTATGCCATGAAGTATTTCAATCAAATAAGGGCAATTATATATTCTCCCATTCTATGTTTCATTGTACGATTCTAGTCTATAACTCAAGTATCAAGTTTCTATCAAGAGCACAGGACTATACATGCATGACCATACATTGTTGTATTGTTGTAAGTTTTATTTTGATTTTTAATTGTTAAAAAAATATTTAATATAATCATTTGTTACTACTACGTAGCGGAGCCATGGAATATGAAGCATTTCTTGACGCAATGTCCTTTCACTTGATGCAGGGATGAGAGATTTAGCAATACAGGATTTGTATAATGATTGTTTTAAGTATGCTCAAGGTGCAATTCTGATTGTTTGGTATCAGCAGGTAGGTATGCACAATACTAGTTAAGAAAAATAAAAGTACTAATTTTGAATCAATATCTAAGATAATTACCTAAACATGATTTCTGCATGCTTAATGAGGGGCTTGGGCCAAAGGTTTTTAGCTGAAAACTCCAAGGTTTCACATCACTAGTCCCAAAAACTGCAATAATGTGCTTAATGCAAGAATCAACTAGTGCTACAGCAAGGTCAAAAGTTATATGCAATGGCTAGAAAAATTTGTCTCAGAAGAAGCTGATTTGCTTTTCAAGCTCTGTGAAGCAAAAAATGGCTACATTATGTCTGAAAACAAAGTTTTAGTCAAAATTAACAAAATATGACATTTGGTTGCAACAACCTTTCAACCTTGCTGTAGCACTAGCTAACTGTTTTATTAAGCACATCATTACAGTTTTTGGGACTTGTGATGTAAAACCTTCGAGTTTAAGCAAAAAAACTTCAGCCCACCTCCTCATTAAGCATGCTGAAAGTGTTAGCTGACTATCTCTGTAGTTGTTGTATCAAAATTAGTACTTTTACATTTCATATCTAGTAATTGTGCATACCTACCTGCTCATACCAGGCAACAGTCAGAATTG